ATTACTTCCAAGTGAAATTTCTATCTAAGCTCTTGGAAATATTTTCTATTCAAGCTAGGTTATGGAAACTTAAGAAAAGTTACAGAAACTCAGCTGTGAACCAGACCCCAGGCACCTGTGAGGATAATGGGAGCAAAGTAGATTGTTTGCTCTTAGTCTAGAATCTTGCTGTTTGGCCACAAGCATGGCTGCCTGTTGTCACTTACCTTCCTAATCCAAAAACAACCACATATGCAGCATTAAGAACAGTTTCTGCCTGTCTCATTACTTCCACTTGAGATTTCTCATTGAGCTGAGGTGGTAACAAATGTACATGGATTCCTCTGAAAATTTTAGTTTTTATTTGAAAAAAACAAAAAAACCAGGACATTGAGTCGGGGTAAGTAAGCCAGTACAAGGGAAAGGATGGCCATCTGCTTTTTTACCTCTGCTTATTTTGGTGCACAGCCTCCATCATGGGAGTTGAGACTCCCAGTGCTCTGGTTTTTCACATTTGGGCTCCCTTGCTGTCCCTCGTCGTCACACTCGCTGCTCATTTATCTGCCTGCCCTGGAACCAGGAGACCTCCATGGCGGTGGAAATACTTATTTAGGTTGAGAAACTCTGGCAATTTAAAATGTTTTGGTGTTCAAATAGGTCCTTAGAAAAATCCTTCAGTACAAACCCATACTATTTTAACAACTTTTACGGACCTCAAAATATTTTCTTTAATAACTTACATATTGTCATGTGGCTGTATTAGAAGTTGAGCTGTGTCCGGTAGTGAGGAACTTAACATGTTGCATATAGGTTATCCTGTCTACAAGGCACATGGCTTTGGGGAGGTCCCCAGCCAGCTTCAGCTCTCCTTTACTGTCTCTGTGACCTTTGGCCATTTGCTTACCATCATTTAGCACTGCCCCCACACCTGTGTCTGCAGATCATATACATTTTCCAAAACTAATTAAGAGTTATAAAAATCTTTAGCAAAGCACCTGGAACTTGCTAGGAACTCAGCAAGTGGCAACTACTATTGTCACCGGTAATCATTCCTACTGTTGCCTGCACTGTGTCTTTATTCTATTTTCCAGTCAACTCAAATTGTTGAAAAGTCACTAACAATAATATTTACATTTCCACTGAGTAGACCTTTCCTGTCTTCACAGCCAGTTTTTCTTTTTCTTTTTTTTTTTTTTTGTGGATCTGCACATTGATGAGCAAATTTGTAATTTCACAATACTTTGATAATTCATGTGCAGTACTTTTTACCAGTCAGGTTTTTGTTGTTACTGGTGGTTGTGCTTATGAATTTGAAAGTACCTCCCAAGTGAAATATCTGTACATAACATTCATCTTTTTAGTGTGATCTCAATATTTTCCAAGGTTTTTTTCATTTGAGACAATTCCTCATTAAAAAATTGCACTCCTGTGACGTAAAGTAAGATATGTTGGGAAGAGACAGAGTTTGTTCATTCACTTGGGTATTTGAGTATCATTCCAGAAGAAATTATGGTCTCTGTTTGGAAGTAATGTGTCTTATGGATACCATTCTGTTTGTTGTCTAGACAGCTCTGCCCTGCAGGTTCAAGTCCACTTGTTTCTATTTTGTACCAGAATGTCTCACCCATCCCACTTCTGCTGCTGTCTGTTTAAACGTTGGCTAGTTACCTAACTTTTCTGAGCCTCCACTTCCATGTCTGTAAAATGAGGATAAAAAGACACATACCTCAGAAGGGTTGTAGGTAACATGAGTTAATGTATGTAAAGTGCTCAGTGCCTGGAACGTAAATAAGTTCTCTGCAAGTGTTCATAATTGTTATTTCTATTATGTTCTCTGTCTGCCACTGAAGGTTCTCACTGGATTCTAAACCTTTTGGTTCTAGAGATTTTTTTTTCTCCAAATACAAAATGATTTCTTTATATGTTCTTAGACTAAATTATTCTGGCCAGGTGGTGGTGGACAGTTAGGCTTATCTGTGGAGATTCTATTTTTAAATTGTGTCTTCAGTCATCAGAGTCTATTTTGGTTAGGTGCCCCCCCCCCCCAAGCAAATTTTTCCTCCTAGATTACAACAGGCACTTGTGTGAAGCCTTCTCTGTCACCTTCCTTCTCTGTGTTATAACCCTTTTCTGCCCACACTGTACCCCTGTCACACATTAGACCTAGGGACTGCTCTTTTTTCCTTTGAAAAAAGTGCCTGATAGCCAGTAACTACTCAGTAAATGTTGAATTTATGAATTACATAACATCTTTGATTTTTCCCCTTCTTCTGTATGACATGTAATGCACATCTTGTTATTTGTCCTTAATTATCGCTTATAAAGTCAGCATTATTAATAATATTTTCAGTTTGTTTTGAGTAAACTTCTGCTTTTGGGAACCCAAGGAAATACCAGTAGATTAACTAAAGATGACTTCAGTCATCACTAAAGTCCAGTTTATGTTTCATTTTCCTGTTCTAAAAAGTCAGCAAATAAAGTCATAGTGTTAAAACTGGCTTTTGCCTGATAAAATGCTCATTTTTCCACCTCTAATGTAAAAAGGTAATGTTCTTTTTTTGTTTCTTCCAGTGCCACCAGTGCTTACATGAGTTATAGAGAAAATAATGCTTTCTGCAAAAGCACAGAGATATTTGCAAACATTAAAGCATTTACTGGAAAAGTACTACACTCAATAGCAAGGTTATCTTCACAAACCTATGTGTAATAAAATATTTTATAGCTTCTCTCTTTCCATAAGAAGGTTATGAAAATCGATTTAGCAGTTGTGTTCGTAGTCTAGTGAATTTAATAAATACACTTTTTAAGTAATCATTCTCATTAGGCGGAAGGAAATGTTGGGAGCCCTCTGATACCACACATTGTTATATATCTAATTAAGTAATTTGCATAGTTAGGTGTCTGAGTTAAGAAAAGTTGTTCTCTGGGGCGCCTGGGTGGCTTAGTCGGTTAAGCATCCGACTTTCTCTTAGGTCATGATCTCGCGGTTCATGGGTTCGAGCCCCACATCGGGCTCTGTGCTGACTGCCTGCTCAGAGCCTGGAGCCTGTTTCAGTCTGTGATTCCCTCTCTCTCTGACCCTCCCCTGCTCACGCTATCTCTCTCTCTCTCTCTCCTAGAAATAAATAAACATTTAAAATAAAAAAAAATTAAAAATAGAACTGCCATGTCATCCAGCAGTCCCATTTCTGGGTACCTATCTGAAGGAAGTAAGAACACTAACTTGAAAAGATATTTACATCCCTGTGTTCACTGCAGCATTATTTACTATAATAAAGATATGGAAACTCTCTAAGCGTCCACTGACAGCTGAATGGATAAACAAATTGTGGTGTATATATACACAATGAAGTATTATTCAGCTGTAAAAAAACTATGAAATCCTGTCATTTGTGACAACATAGATGGATCCTCCAGGCAGTATGCTAACTGAAATAAATCTGAGAAAGATACATAGTGTATGAACTCTTTTTTTAAAAAAAAAATTAATGTTTATTTTTTGAGAGAGAGAGAGGCAGTGCACGCAGGGGAGGGGCAGAGAAAGAGGGAGACGTGGAATCTCAAGCAGGCTTCAGCTTGAGAGCTGTCAGAACAGAGCCTGACTTGGGGCCTTGAACTCACAAACCATGAGATCATGACCTGAGCTGAAGATAGACATTTAACTGACTGAGCTTCCCAGACACCCTTGTATGTATGATCTCTTTCATGTGAAGTCTAAAAAGAAAATATTCATAGGTACAGAGAATAGCTGGATGGTTGGAGGGGTGGGGGATTACTGAATGAAAGGGATCCAGAGGTAAGAAGAAAAAAAAGCATAAATCACAAATAAAAGTTGTTGAAATTGACCAAATAGGACCATTTATGTCTTGATTTATTTCTATAGCATCTTCCCCATTTCTGTAGTAGCCTTCTCAACGTTCTAGATATAACATCAGTGGGGAGATATTCAAAGTAAGAAATTAGTACTGATTTTGGTGTTTTCTTTTGATTGTGATATATTTGATATATTCTAGAAAAGGCAAACTAATATAGAATGACATATGGTTTAGGGGGTGGCGAGGGAAGGCAGGAAAGAGGAATGACAAGAGAAAGCTTTTGGCAGGTGTTGGACATATTCAGTAATTATGGCAGTGGTTTCATGTTTGAGAGAGAGTGAGAGAAAAGTTGCATACTTTAAACATGTGTAGTTTGTTGGATATGTACTTAAGCCTCAGTAAAGTAAAACAAAAGCAAAAACAAAGAACAGAGGGCAGGCTGTGCTGTTAGCCCAGGTAAAAGATGGCTGACATATAACAGGGCCCACCTCTTAGGGTGGTTGTGAGGCGTGAGTAGTAACTAGGAGTGAGAGACGAGACCAGTGGCCAGCTCAGAGCACTGTTCTCCGTCGGATGTGACTGCATCTTCTCTGCTGGGCCATCAGCTCTGGGTGAGCCAGGCACCATGTCTCTGCCATCCTGTTGCCTAGTTTGAAACTTGGAATGGGTATTTATTTGTATAATCGTCCATTTATTTCATGAAAAGTGCAAAAAAAATGTTTTGATGAATTTTCAGTCCATACATAAGTAACAGAATTAGCATCCTTCAGACATGGGCAATATGGATAAAGATTGAGAGAAAAAACCCGGCGGAATGTGGCAGACAGTGCTCTGTACTCATTGGTGAATTATGTTATTTATATGTTTAGAATTATAGGGGAAATACTTAAAATGTTACATTGTCTTAGAGATCGGTCTTTATTTTTATTTGTACTCGTACACACAAATGTGTGTACATCATGCACATTTCCTGCAAATTGTTTCCTTTGAGCACTTGAATGTAGCTGTCACCCTTGTTTCTTTGAGTTTTTTTTTTTTTTTTTTTAGAATGCAGTTAAATCCTTGGGAAAATCACTTATGTCATCAGCAAGGAATGTCACCAAAATAGCTTCTCACTTAAGTTCCCATCCCCAGAGCTAACCCACGGGAGGTTCCGATAAATTCAGATATTTAATAACGTGTCTTTTTCTTTCTCCTTCAACACAGGCCCTCTGGTCCTGGAGGCAGGACCACGTGGTGGATTGTTGGCAGTCAGCGGTCTGTGGAGCTTTTGCAGGTGCAAAGGATTATATTATACTGGGAAAGACGGAAGGGGGGAGAAAATTGCAAAAATATTAACTATGCAAAGACAGCATTCTTTAGACATTCCAGATTGTTTAGATGAAGAGAGTTCCACTGGTTGTTTGAGAAAAGAGAGTGACTTAGGGGAAAAAAACCTGCTAAAAAGGTGTCTGCTTGAAAGACAAGCAATTTGTTTTTGACAAATTTTTCTTTTTCTTTTTATCTTTATTAAAGCCTTCACTCAGGCCCTTGGATTATCTTAAAGATGATTTATAAAGTCCTCTGTGGGAAGAGACTTGCCATGGCTGCAGGGCTCAGTGTGCAGCTGTCTGCCGTGAGCAGCGCTTCGGGGGTTTCAGGGATTGCTGCAGAAGGCCGTGATTCATGGTTCGTGTGACATGTTTGACAGCACCACAGATTAACTAGTGTCGAGAGAGCTGAGGGTGCTCAGCAGCTTATCGAAGGCTCGATCACTCTGTGGAGAGCATATGGACATCCAAACATCTGGGCGTTTTCCAGACGTTAAACCAAGAGCAAAGTGACAGTGCGCGATGGTGTGTTTTCCATTGCTAAATCATGTGGATTTTCCAGTGAGGCTGTAATGAGAACTCAGGTGCTTTACAGAACTGAATAAGTGATGAGGTTTAGCAGTCTCAGAGAGAAGTGCAGTTTGCTCTTGCACATAAAGGTGAGTTAGAATTACGGTTGAAATAAAGCAAAGTGGAGATATGCCAGAAAATGCAAACTGCTCGTTTAGATGTGTACCCATTAAAGAGATACGTAGTTTTAGGATGTCAGCTTTATTAGGAAATGATTCTTTTCCAGTTTGTTTAATGGCTATTGGACTGGGTTTTGGTTGTGGTGATTAGAAACAGAAAACTTGTATTTTATAGGATTCTTTATTAATAATTGGACCCATTTGACTTGTAGAATTGATAATCCAAAATAAGAATCTTGCCTTGAGAATTGAAACCGGCTCAAATGGATTATGGTGGGTAATTGTTTCCACATGACACTTCGTCATTAGCTGTGTTAAATGAGTAGGTGGTCTTGATTCACTTTCCAGAGGTCAAGAGCCTTTACTCCCCAGTCCTTACGTGAAATGTGTGGTATTTTTTTTCTTTTACTCCCTCCAGGGGACACAGTGAACATTATGGAAATTTAGTCATCCTGGATAAGAAAGGGCACTTGTTAAATTTAGCAATAACATAAAACTTCCATGTGTTGAAGTAAGAAGGGTATATTCTCTGGTCCCATTTCTGAAGTAGCTCATTCAAAGATTTGCTTACAAATGCATTGTTTCTGGTAAGGAAATTCGCACTCACTACAATGCCTTTTTCCCAGTAATGCTTTGTAATGAATGCTAAGCAGTTAGATTAGTCAGAAGTGGGGAAATAGAAACTTAGCAGCCATCCGCTGTGCAGTAGGATCCCGTGGGCCAGGCCCTTTCGGCCTGGGGGCTCCCCTGAGGAGTGCGGCCCAACAGCCCTGTGCTCCAGTGACTGATGGAAGCTTCTGTGTGGAGCAGGGAAGGGGCTTGCCCTGAGCCACACACCTGCTGTGGGCCAGCTTACTGGACTCAGAATTGTCAGGCCTCAGCGCTGTCCCCGGCTCCTTATCTATAACATAAGACGCACCCCTCCCAGCCTTAGCGGGGATCACGGCAGGGCGAGGTGAGGTCACGTGTGTCTTAGTGCTTATAAGCTATGAGACTGAGCCGATTGATGGCAGGTATTCTTTCCACTGCAGTGGAAACACTCAATACCCAGAAAATGAAAAGCTGTCATCACATCGATTCCCATTCACCATTGCATTCAGAGAATAATATATTGGTAGAGTTTCTACACAAAATTATCTCTTATAGCATGTAGATTTAAAAACTCCTCCCCTCAACAGACGAATGGATCAAGAAGATGTGGTTTATCTATACCATGGAATACTACATGGCAGTGAGAAACCATGAAATCTGGCCATGTGTAGCAACATGGATGGACCCTGAGGGTGTTATGCTGAGCGAAATAAGTCAGGCAGAGAAAGACAAATACCGTATGATTGCTCGTATAGGAGGATTAGGAGGAACTTACCGGAGGACCGTGGGGGAGAAGAAGGGGGGAAATGGTGGGGGAAAGGGAGAGAGGCAAACCATGAGACTCTTGAATGCTGACAAAAACTGAGGACTGATGGCTGTGGGGAGGAAGGGGGGATGGGCATGGAGGAGGGCACTTGTGGGGATGAGCACTGGGTGTTATATGGAAACCAACTTGACAATAAACTATTTATAAAAAAAATAATAAAACAAAAAATTAAAAAATTAAAAAAATAAAAACTCCTCCCCTTCAGTCGCCTTATTTCTCCTGCTGAGGTTCTGTAAGAGAAGGAGTTTGTCCGGTTTTCCAAAAATCCACTGAGGGTCGATCTATGTGCATTTATTCATAAAAGGTAAAATGAGTATATTTTTGCTTATATCTCTTTTGTTTTGAAATTTCACTTGGTATGTTGTCGTGAGGGATACAGTTACTATTTTAAAACCTTTGTGAAAGATAAAAATCATTTAAAAAATATTCTACCTTGTGAAAAAGTGACTCCCCGTAGGAGTCCATTGTGACAGTGTGCGGTACACACTACAGAGGAATGTAGCCAGCCCGCCGCCCCTTGCAGGCCTCACGTGGCCATAAAGGCATGTGAGACCTGCCCCGAAGTCAGCCACCACATTGCTCATCCTTGTGTGCTTTCTGTCTGCCATGCTTGGCGCTCTCCTGTGCCCATGCTTGTTTTATCAACTACTTGGCACAAATATCCAAAAATGTCCCTTGAGATTGGAGGTGTTGATGGCTTGTCATGCCAGAAATTCCCTTGGCTTGCAGTCAGGGGTTAAACGAGGGAGAAGAAAAGGACTTTGCCAACTTCCTCACTTCAAGTTAACTTCTAAACATACAGCTATAATTCAGTCTAAGTAATTATGACATTTGCTACTCTCATGATACGTGCTTTGATAATCTAGTGTTCTTTGGTCTGTTTCTCATAATTAACATCTCCTTACATTTTTTAAGAGAGAGGGAGCGAGGCTGAAAGGGTGGGAGGGAAGGAAAGAGAGAGCGAGATTCCCATGGCTTGCAGTCCCAGAATAGGGTGAAGGATTTATCAGGGTAAGACATCAGAAGGCATGATACCAGCTTTTAACAGAAACAAACACACTTTTGTTGTTGTCGAAGCCCCCTCCGTGTCTGGATACTAGTTTGGGGAGCATATGCAAAGGAGGTGCATGGAGATGCTCTTGTTGCTCCGAGCCTCATCGGAGTGGAGGGGGGGGCGGCAGTGCTAGGCAGCCCTATGCGCTGCTGTCCCCACCACCACTTTCACAGCTTGTTGTAGGAAGGTGGCCCCTTTGTCCAGAGTACTAAAGAACCTGCATTTGCACAGGGACACATGAGATGTCATTTCATCGTAAACGTCCCATTGCCCCTGAGCCTGGTCCCTGACAGCAGTTGGCCGCATGTCCTGTAAAAGCCTAACTCTAGTGGAGCCTACAATAAATGGTTTCGTGTGTGATGTGAGCACACAAGCAGCCGACAGTTGCTGCACCAAGTAATTATTTCCTGTCTAATATGTTAGCATGTTCCTTGTATTTATTACCGCAGTTTACAGTTCCCTTAAGTAAAATATAGAAAATAACTACATTTTAACTATAAGCATAGGTCCCCAGTGCCCTCCGCATTGTGACCCGTTGTTCTATTACACAATCTTCACAGGCCCTTCTTTGCAGCCTCATAAAAAATATTGTGAGGCCTGTGTATTAAAGCAGTCATTGGCATTTGAAGACATTAACATTGATTTCTTAATAATTGGCATAAAATACAGCTACCATCATGGCCATAAAATTAGGACCTATTTAGGCATATTTGTTTTTGTCTTTGGCTTTTCTTCATATCGCTTGTATGAAACAGAAGTCTCTCAGAGCCTAGCAGCAAGCACCCACAGTAAAGGGATGGGGAACTTCTCCCAGCCGAGTTTGACACACAGTACCTGCATGTATTAGAAGGCAAGTAGTTTTCAGTGTGACTCAGGAGAGCTTGGGTCATCAGACGGGACAGGTGATGTCCTTGCCAACTTTTAAGTCTTCAGAGTTGGTTTAGGAAAGGTTGTGACCATTTTCGAATAGGATAATGGTGTATGTACTTCTGATTTTTAACACATGGATGCAGCTTAATGTCTTACCACATACCAGAGTCATCAGAGTGCAAGTGCACTAATTTTGGGGCTGAGATGCATGTGACTTTGAATCCCAGCTCCATTACTGTGTGGCCCTGAGCAAGCTATCTGTAATATGGAATAGTAATACCCATGCAAATGAGATAGAATAATTAATGACCGTACCTAGTACAGGTCCAGCATGCCACATACAAAGTAAACACAAATATTGGCTCCGAGCTTCCCCTTCCTTCTCTCTTTCAGAGGACGAGTTGGAATCGTGGGTTTGTAAGATCTATAGACCCTTGTCCAGGGCACCTAGTAAGCATTTCTGAGTGTCTGCTGTGTGTGCAGTGCTAGAGACATGAAGGAAGATCACAGATTATCCCTACCCATGCAGAAAAGAGCCAGTTCCTTTGAGCTCTGGTGTGCGCCAGGCACCGTGCTAGACACTTTGCACAGCCCCATGTAGACCCAGATCCTGCTGCTATCTGCGTCTTATAGATGAGAAAACTTGAAGCCACTGGCACAACCACTGGCCGTGAGCTCACGGTCTGGAGTCAGTCAGGTTCAGGTCTTAGCTCTACACTAAGCAAAACCTGTGAGTTATATAACCTCTCTGAGCTTCAGTTTCCCCACCCATAGCAGGGGGTGGCGGTGATAGAAGCACGTGTCTCATTTGGTGCTGACCTAGAGAATAAGTATGGCCCCAAGGCCAGTCCACTAGTAGAGTAGGGATTTCATTCAAGGCTTGGTCTTTCTGACTCTAAAAGCCTTTACGACTGGGCCCTGCTAACTCTTGCAGCCAGAGAGGGAAGGGAAGCTGAATACTGTGAGATTTCAGGGGGAGGAAAGGGTTGGATAGTAGAGGCTGCCTGAAATTTAATACAGTACTACCTGAATTTCAGACAGCTTTTGAATCTGGAAAAAAAGTGTTTCACTTATTTGTAACACAAAAGTGGCTATAGGAAAAGGGAACTCTAATATTCATGTAATTAATAATATTTAGTCCTAAGATATGTGTTTTGTGGGTAACTAAATATGAAACATAAAAGCATAAATGGGTACATCTTTCAAAAAGTCAGTGTCCTAATAGATGCTACCAAAGGGAGAAGGTTCTGTGTGACGATCTTATTTCAGCAACATGTTTAGCAAGGTATTTGGCAGAGCTCAGATGACCTTCACAATTGTCCCCATGCCACAAAATTTGGAGGGGGAGGAGGAGGTGCTATCTCTGGAGCATCCTTCATGCATGTGCTCTGTTCACCTAGCTCACGCAGGCTGAAGCTTTAGAAAGCCCTTTTGTGTTTACTATTTCTATCTCCTTAGGGCTTCTTTGGGTTTAAAATATATCTTTGTATCACTCTTAATAAAATATCGACACCATATACTGTGGTTTCTCCTCCAATTCCTCTGTCCATAGATATGGATATTAAAATAATCGGTTTGGCAGTAATAGTATTCTGTGGAAGAGAAGGTGGGAAGGAAGCATAGGAAAATTGCCCGTTGAATCAGGACTAACTGACAGGATGTTGGCGGGGGGGGGGGGGGGGGGGGGGGGGGGGGGGGGGGGGGGGCAGAATGTCATTACTCTGTGCCTGGCCACTTTTCTGAAGCCTGGAGATACGTACAGAAAGCTTTACTCTTTTCACTCAAAAGAATTTAGCCATCAATACCGAAAGTCCCTACAGCAATCTGCATACCTCTATTTGCCCATTTTTCTGAGACTAGAAAAGATAGAAGCATTTCGGAGTCCCATTAGAGAAGAGTGTTCCGTAGAAGGCGGGGGACCCATGAGAAGCACTGGGAGCAGTGAGCCTCTCATATCGATGGCAGGTGTGTGAACACAGGCACACAGTCGTGTGCACATGCAGGTCTGCTGCTCCACAGAGGAACAAGATAAATTATGGAGCCTCATTTTTGTTTTTTCCCTGAGTGTGTAGAGCAGTCTCCTGTCCCTTCTGTTACGTGCGGTTTGCCATCACTACAAAAACAGTGTGTGCATTTTGCACGTGTGCATCCTCTTCTTGAATCGGTCAAGTGGACGTAATGATAAGGACGTGATTTTGGCAGAGCTATGAGGGATCATAAGGTAAAAGTTATACCACCCCATGTAACACAGTTAACAATGCCTCCTTTATGTGTTGGGTATTTTTATATGCACAGGTGGATTTGCAGCTGTGGTCACCACACCTCTGGATGTGGCAAAAACAAGAATCATGTTGGCAAAGGTAAGTGTAAGAGAATGTAACGTAGACGCAGCAGATGCCGTGTGTCAGCCCTCGGGCTCGCGTGTATGCAGCGGCTGAAAGCGGATATTCCTCGGGAACAGCAGCCTAGGCCAACCTGCTGAGGCACGAGTGAGACTGGCATTGATAGCACGGTACCCATAGTCCTTGCTGTGCCCGGTGTCAGCGCAGCATTTTACCTTTCAGAGAGCGTTCTCACTGATACTCTGTAAGAATCAGGGCTGGGCCTCCGCATGGTGATAGTGCTTTCTAATGATCGCTGTTTTTACCGGAGAGACTTGAGGCTCCCAGAGTGGACTGGCTTCATGCCAGTGAAGCAAGTAAGCTAGAGGCTCTGAGCTCAGATAATGCTTGGCCTTAACTGGATGAATCAGAACAGTCATCAGAATTGTTGAAAAGGTTTTCATGAAAAAGCAAATTGTTACCAAAAAATCTGGATCAAGGTTTCTTGGAATGCCATGCACATAACCTCTCTGGGGCCTAACAATAGAACGGAAAGGCACACACACCCTTAGGGAAGAGGGCAACCATAAGGACGGAAATCTAGTATGTAGGCTGATTAGGGCAAACCTGAGTATTGGTCACAGTACTCCTCATTAAATGTGAGGAGCCGCTTAGATAAGTTGATAATTGGGCCACTTACACCAATGAGTCCCTGATTCTTCTCAGATCAGTTACTGTTGCTTTCTGTCTCTTTCCTGTCAGACACTGGTGGGTAAATTACCCAGCTGAGCCCTGCCTCCAGTGTGCTGATGGGAGAGCCTGGCAAAGCACTTCCGGTCAGTCGGTGCTTACCTGTGGGCCTGAACGGAGGGCCTTCTGGTCTGCTGGGCTCCCGGGGTCCTGGTTCCAGAGAATCTCCCCAGTCTATTGCAGACTAGGACACAGTGGTTGGGGGCCAGGCACTTGAGGACATCACTTTGGGAATTTCCTATGATAACGGCTTCATCTGTTGTCCTGTTGTGCAGGCTGGTTCCAGCACCGCTGGTGGGAATGTGCTCTCTGCCCTGCACGGGGTCTGGCGGACACAGGGGCTGCCAGGGTAAGGACAAGAAGGAATGTTCGACTGCCTATCTGCATCTCTTCGCGGCTCTTCCTCCTGTAGCCTGAGCAGGAACCACTTACCTTCCTCCTGCTCATCCTGGCTGGGTCTCTTTATGTACATTGCACAGAATGCATTTGATGGTGCCTGTGTGAGTTGACAGTGCATCTTCGAGTTGATGTTGTATCTCGCAGGTGACTGACAGCCTTGTCCATCTTGATATTGGAGGACTTCCCCGGGCACGGCCCCCCTCTAGCTTCTGGGCTGTGGCTCTGAGCAGACAGACTTCCAGTTATGTGATGCAGGAGTGCAAGTGAGCGAGCATAACGCTGAGAAGCAGTTGTGGTTGGGGCTACTTTTAACACTCGTCAGTCACAAATCCCTTTCAGTATATAAGTGTGAGCCTGCACTAGAAACTCTTTTTCCCCTCAGCGCCTCACCTTCTAGCATCACGTCCTAAAATGCTTCCTTTGCAAGATGTGCTTCCACCTCGCTTCTGCAGTCTGTAAACATGTCTCCATGTTGGGATCTGTACACATCTCTGAAGTGACCATCTTCTCTCTGGAATGATCTACCAGGGATTTTCCTGAGAGCAAAGCTTGCAGCCTCCTCTTGCAGGGTTGGGAGTGAGCCTCTGGACAGGCTCTGGCTGGTGGGGACAGCAGATGGGTGGCAGCACCGCCACCTCGTAGTGCTGTTGGGATGATTGTCGTGTCGTGTGCATTCGACAGGTTCTTCTTGGGGTTAGTTGGTAGTTGGGTAACATGAGGCGCATCGGTCACGCCCCAGCTAAGGTTTTTGCACAACAGCTCCCTTCTCTTCAAAATTTACAACTGTTAGTTTCAAAAGTAGGTCAGGTTGGGTGGTTTTTGTATGCGGCAGCCCTGATGGGCTGATGCTGGTTGCCTGAGGGACTCGGGTTCTGAGAGGAGAACGGGGTGTACCAGAAAGGAACACTTGAGCACGAGCAAGGGCACAGCAGAGCGGTGGCGTGGGCGCCGGGGCCAGCCATTTACAGCTAAGGTAGCGTGAGGAGGGGAGAACCTGCTCACAGCGCAGACCTGCATTCCACACTGAACAGTGAAGCGGCCTGAGAGAAGAGAGCTCTGGAGCAGCTTTGCAGTAGCAGCTGAACGATTCAGACGTGGCTCATACCAGATTTGATGGCACCTGCTGGTCACACCTCTGCTCTGAGGAGCTGGTATCGAGCTGCAGTGTGTCTGCCTTTCTTGAGAAAGTGGTGGTGGTACGTGGGTGCGGTACGGTCAGCAAAATCCTGGCCGCCAGGGCCTCGTAAGGAAGGAATTCCCTTGAACGGATGACTGAAACGAAGCCCCCCCCCCCCCCCCCCCCCCCCCCGCCCCGTCCCAGCGACACTGTCTGCATGCCCGGGGCCCCTCTGTCAGGCTGGGCTCTCATTAGTACACACTGTGGTCCTTGGCAGAGGATTTCAGGCAGCCACGCTTGTCATTTAAGAAATGATAGTTTTATTAGCTTCCGAGTAATATGATAAAAGGCCACAAATGATTTGACGAAGGAACTGTAACTGAAAGCAAACAAAACCCACCCCTGCCGGCGTGGGCAGCTGTTCTCCAGCGGCCCCGGGCGTCCTCGGCCCTGACCGTGTCCTTGGCCCTGACGGCCGTCCTCAGCCGGCGCCTCTGTCCTGCTCCCACCCGGCCCGGTGGCCCCTGCTGCCGCCTCGAACGCACCTGCCTCGTTGCTGAGTGCCCCGGACGCTCGCAGGGAGCTTCCCCGCGGCACTGACGCCGGCCTGGCCTCTCCGGGTACAGGCGGGACGCGTTTCGATCTCTCTGTGTTGGTTCACATGGGGGAAGGCTGTGTTCGGGCACAGACTCGGAATAGGCTCCAGGGCAAACTGGTGTCTCCAAAATAAAAACACCGCCCGCACGGGACGCCTATGTGCCCTGCATTGCCCCTGCTGCCTCGCCCTGTTGAGCGGCCGGCTGTTTCATGACCGTGCCCTTTATGTCTTCACCGCTGTGCGCTGCTGCCCCGGGCACACCCCCTCCGGGCCCGTGCGCTGTGCACGTTTGTTACCGCGTGTGATCTGCGGTCCCTGGGACACAGCCGCTGCACTCAAGTCCCTGCTGCCTCGTGCGGTTGGGGTGCTCACTGTACAAATTGGTCTGCTTTAGGGCTATAATTATGTTAATAGATTCAGTTGTCATCTGGTGAAACCATAAACTGCTTCCATCTGCCTCTTGCCAGGAGCAGCTGAGTTCATTAGCGGCAAAAGCTGAACCCGGACACGGGTTTCGAAGTCATTCAGATCGTGAGGGAGGATTTCGTGGCAGAAGTGGACTCGAGTCTCAGCTTCTGCTGACCTCCCTCCCGGCACCCTTCGCTTTGTAGGGAGGGGTGGGAGGAGGAGTCCCTGTTTCGCGCCACAAGGTCCCAGTGGCCTCAGTGTGGTAACTGGTGAGTTTTGTCCTCACCTCCCACCTCCCGCAAGAATGATTTGCAGGATGCTGAGCCGAGCAGCTTTTTCCCTCGTGCAGTTTTCATGGTTACTCCTAGAGAAGAGGTTCTCGTTTTATCTGCAGGATCTTGCTTCATGATTTGGATCCTTACTCAGCTAACCAAAGTATGGCCCCCTAATGCTCAGCCCCGTTGTCCTCAGAAGTGCTAACTAAGTGCGACGTGCAGAGGGGAGGCGGCCAGCTGACCTCTCCCAGCAGGTGTGCGGAAACCAGGCCGCGGCGTTGCTCTCCTGTCCACAGTCTTGGCCAGTCACCATTTAGCTTATTGTGGATGTTTTCTCCTGTTTTAAAGGTTATGTCCTTTTCACATAACCTGACCACGTTTCCTTCCCTGGACCCGGGCCGGTCTTTTCACTAGTAAGTCCACTAGTTCTGATTTTTTTCGGTTTACAAAAGTAAATGCTTTTGGTAAGACACAGTCGTTAGAGAAAGATGGTGGGGGGGGAGTGTTTCCTCTAACCCGGCCCCCCAGAGAGTTTGGAGCCTGTCCCTGCCGCACACTCAGATGACACACACAGCTTTGGGACTTCCGTCAGAACCTGCTGTGCGTATTTTGTGCCGTGGGTCCCATGGGCTACCTCATTTTTACCAGTTGTGTAGCATTTCCCCTCCCCACCCCCCTCCCGACACCAGAATTTATGTAACCAGAAGGAGGGTTGCAGTTTCTCTGGTACCAGCAGTGCCAGGATGAACCCCGTTGAACAGATACCTGTGCACGGCAACAGGATGGCTTTTAAAGAGAGAACCTCCAGTGTCCGCCCCCCGTACCATTCTTTTACTTTGCCTTCCGTGTTCCAAAGCGCCACTGGCTGGCGTGGTGCGTGGGGACAGAACCTGTGAGGGGGTGCTCTCTGCCCAGCCCATGTGCCTTCCTTGCCCTTGCTCAGAAAACAAATAGGGAGTCCATGGAGATTTGCCTCCCCGTGCCCATGCCCATCTGTGGGCCTCTAAGGACCGAATGCCACCGAGCCACTGGGAGGAGCGGCCGAGCTGTGGGAAAATCAGCACCCACGCCCGCCTTCCATCCCTGCGGCGGGCCTTTGACTCCTTTACAAAAGTCAGTGTCTTCATCTCTCCAAGAGCCCATCTGGAAGTTTTCCGCAGGACTGTTGTGGGGACAGTTTGTATTTCTTGACTAATTACTGGACTTAATTGTGAGGCTCCCAAGTAAGCTGTTTGGTATTCAGCCCCGTTAGCCAACAAACAGCTGGTCCCAGACTTCAGCAAGTCTGCTTGGGACTGTAATTTAGTGCCATTCTGAAAGGAAAAAGCACACATTTTAAGTGCTGTGTGGGGGTTTAATGAGCATGGTGTGTGGAGTTGAGCAAGCTGTGGGTGTTGGAATTTAACCTTTTTTACACAGAGCAATTAAAAAAACTTTTGTCCTGCTTTTTTCCTTCCCTAGATTATTTGCAGGTGTCTTCCCTCGAATGGCAGCCATCAGTCTGGGAGGCTTCATCTTTCTTGGTGCTTATGACCAAACCCGCAGCTTGCTGGTGCGACTTGGCAGAGGGGGCCCCTGAACCAGGGACGGCCCCACATGCACTGCTGTGCCACTGGGCTCCCTTCCGGCAGGCAGCTGCTCGGGCATCTGAACCACCCGCGCTGCGCCGTGTGTCAAGAGGAGGACCTTGAGGAGGTCGCGCCTGCCCCGGGCCGGCTGGAACGTCGCCCGCCGTCTGGCCGCCAGACCGCAGAGAGAGGACCGTGTCCACGGCGGTACTTTGAACCCTTTTCTCAGAACCCCTCAATAAATACGTTTGGTAAGGCCGAGTCTAGGCTGCACAGAGCCGTCATTTGATCTGTATCTGATCTTGCATTTCCTGCCACCTGCTAGTGGACACAGCGGAAGGCAGAGAAAGTTCTCATGGCGAAAGGATGGCGAGACCGGGAACAGGAAGGAGACTTAGGAGAAGTGCACGTGGGTGGGTCTCTCCCTACTGTGTGAGCTTAGGGCTTTGTTTAAAAAGAATGAACTGCAGGTGCATAGCCAGCATTCTGGGCACCCAGGCTGCTGCTCATTTCTCTCAGAGTTCCCAGAAAACACACAGTTGTTTTATTTTACAGAGAAGGCTCCCGCGGCCCATGTGCTGTGTGTGAAAGCAGGTGACCAGTTGCAGCTCCAAGGATGAGGTGGGCCCAGCTGGCTTCGGGGTGGGAGGTACTGTGGGTCCTCCGGGGTGCTGAGCCGCACCCCATGCTCCCCGTGCGACCCAGAGGAGGGGCCGACTGGGGAACAGAGCAGGGTTTCTTCGTTCCTAATCGCGAAGGTTTATTGTCTGCAGTTAGAAGGAGGTCACTGTTTCAGAGCTTGACTAATAAGCTCCAGGTGTTAGAAAAATTCAGAGAGAAATCTCAGGAATCTAGTGGTGGTGTATTGTCCCTGGGGCTAAAGTATAGGATTTTGCTTTGCATAAAAAAAATTTCCCCCTTTCTGGGGAAAAAAGATACTTAAAGGCAGAGTGCGTGCGTTTGGTTTGTAAGGCAGTTTCTGGAATGGGACACTGGTTACAACGGCAGTAGGCGAATGACCCCAGGCACACAAGGAATGTTTATAAATGAACCTTTATTAAAGACACTTCAACACCGTTTGTTAGACACTTCAATATTTTACATGTTTTTCAATGTACAATGTACCAAAATTTCTATAAATAAATAACTTTGTACATAAAAGTAATACTTCCTCTTTCACATTGCCTCTCAGAAGCAGCAAATTCACATATTTTGTGGAAGTAACATGAATCAGTTGACTGTTGAGAACACAACTCTGAATGTGCTTACCTTTTCGAACAGTGTTGACATCAGACCGTGAAATTTTACCACCCTTTTGTCAGTCTCTCCCTTCAGCTTTTGGGCCAAAGGAACTTAATTTCGAAGATCGTAAGGACCGTGTTTCGAGGTCAGTTTTCCTGAACACACATTGGCACTCACAAGATGGTTAGCTACGGGTCTCGAAAGTGCAAGTACACCCAGGCGCAGGGCCCCACCTCGGACAGTCCCAGCCCAGGGCGGCTGTATGAGGGCTGGACACACCGGCTCCGGACCCTCAGGAGGGGAGCTAGCGCTGAACAGTAAGGACTGGATCCTCTTCCTCCCCCGTGGTCAACGGAGTATTAAGGATATTGGCAGAACTAAAACATAACTATTGAACAAATCCACAGGTAGCAACACCAGCAGCCTCTATCTTTAAGCCTCACATGACAATCGAGTGATACTGACAAGAACCACACTTGCTTTTCTCAGGGAAGGAAGAAAGGCAGTGCTGAAGTGTTCGGAACCAATGCTTCTGGTGGGTTAACCCCCATGCTGCTTGGCAAGGAGCTTACACGAGAAAGTCATGCACATCACAGGCACATGACGTGGGCGTCTCTGGACCCTATGGGGAGGTGAGCTGCGCGAGCCTCCGCCCAGGAGCAATACTGACAGGAAGTTAGTTCCGATGCACACGATGGCTCTGGCTGGAAAGCAGCCTAGGGGTGTGTCCTGTGACGTGTAAGACAAATCTCATCCTTCCCACCTACCAAAAACTCCAGAGAGCAAATGTGGTTTTTAGCTTCTAGAAATTGCATCCATGCATTAAGGCACCAGAACTATCCCCCCTCTCCTTCCAAAATGAAACAGCAACCTGATATGAAAAATAATATTTTCAAAATTGTACGATTTCTTTGTTAACCATGCACTATAGATTAAAATAGCGTCTGCAAAAGATATATAATATATATGAAATCTCTGAAAACTCTTATGTACACTGGTATCAAACACTTTTCTGCTTTTGTACACAATAGCCTCGGGCAGTGCAGCAGCCGCACGTCCTTTAAACTACGGATACTCCACACGGAAGTTTAAAAACTATGTACACATCAGTGACGCTTGAACCCAAGCTTCCTCACAGCCTCTCCTACCTCCTTCCCGTAGAGACGGACACAAGAGCTGAGGTAGACCAAGCCTAGATGTTCGGTGCAAAGAGCAGGGGCATGCCCCGTTTCCCGGGGTGCTGTCCTGTCAGTGGGGGGGACTCAGGACTGGAGTCACAGGCTTCGGGGAGGTGTCCGTTGGAAAGAAGCAAGTGCTGGCCTTCACTGGGGATGTCGGGAAAGCCCGAGGAGGCTTCGGTGAGCTCAGGACTGCCTGGAGTTAATGTGCAGGGAGGCTGGCGGTCCACGGAGTCTGGCTCACACACCCGTGCTAAAGTCCAAGAGGAGGCCCCTGGGAGAAAGGAGAGGGCACGTCAGAGCCTCCAGTCTGGCTGCGTACCTGCCCCCACCCACCTGCCGGGGGGGTACCTGGAAGACACTGAATGTCTACCTTTTCCATCTAGAGGTGCCGTTGGCCTTTTCTTCAAGGAGGGTGGCATTCTGTCATGGTTGCTGGGGTAGAGGGACCCCCTGCAGTCGGCACGGGACCCGTCCACAGTCCCACCGCTCAGGTGATGTGGAGAATGTTCTCGGTCACTCTGACTGGGCTCCGGGCTGCTGAGTGTACCTGGCTGCATATGGTCTCTGGGCACAGGCTGAGGATAGGACACCTGTTCCTTGCGATTCCTGTCCGCGTCACTGTTGCAGTCACCGCACGCAACAGGGCCACTGTGCTCTGCAGACCCAGACAGAGTGGGGTTAGAACCATCCCCAGTACAGTCTGAGGAGGGAGCTGCGGTACCCTGCTCAGACCAACTCTAGCAAACTCCCCTCTCTCCCACTTATGGTCACAGAAAAAGGACTGGGCAAACACAAGCCGTTAATGAAGAATGGGTCGTCCAAGTTTCAGATTAATTCCTTTCTGAGAGAAAGTGGTCCTGCTGTTCTGCTCCCAGAAAGAAACCCCATGGAAGGACATACCATGTGGTGGCAGGAGTCTCCTTGAATCATCAGAAATACAGGCTCAAAACAGCCCTCGTGAAAAGATTCTTCAGTTTGGGCCATGCCCTTTATTTAAATTGCTTATGAATCTGGAAACTTCAAGCCCAGGATCACTACACCACAGATTTATGTAAGAGACCTCCTACTCCAGAATTCGGAGAGCCAGACCACAGCTTCCTGTTTATACACCGAATACCAAATTCTGAAACAGTCTTAGACCAGTAATTCCTCTTTCTCTTTCATTTAATGAACAAGTCAACTCGAATTTGGATTTCAAGAACCAAAGATTTTTCCCAACGAAAACATCTCTTACCCATCTTCTGTGGACCAGGTCTCCGCTGGGCTTTCTCCATCATGGCCCAGGGCTCCTTGTTACAACCAGCACAGGGCTTGGGCTGCCTGCACGTGACGCCATGAGCGTCCACCCCCGAAAAGAGGCTTGTATCTCTTGGACAGACACCTGCAGTACAGTCCCACGGTTAGAAGTGACGGGCTCGGCTTTTCAGAGTAAGCTTTAGGAGAACAATGGGCAAGGCTACCAGAATGGTCCTTTGTACAATGTTCCTGACAATGTAGGTGCCTGGGCTGACCAGCAAGAAACATTTCATAACCCAGGCTGGCCAGCAGGCAGGCCTTCCTGTGTTCAGAGCCATGGTGGTGAGCAATTCTTTTAAGGATAAACTTGTCCCCAACAAACATGGTCTCCCCTGTGGAGGTGGCTTGCCCTGGCAGAGCTTTCTAGTACCAGGGACTGGACTACAGACCAGGCCTGGGCCCTTCCCCTATTTGATAAATGGGCTGGTTTCAGGACCGATCTGTCATGTCCTGTAAGGCTGCTGCTTTCAATCCTACCTTATCCTGACTAGGGGATCCGGAGCCCCATACATAGCAACTTCCTGCACCCTGGAGTTTTTAAACCCTGCAAAACTTGGACAGGGAAGAGCCGACAAAGACCTAACAGAAGGCTGGAGTCTGCCAGCCTTCCAGGCTGGATGTGCTCAGCCCAAGGCCACGCACCTGCCCTGGGAAGGGGCAGGAGGCCTCCTCCGGCTCCTCAGGACAAGGTTACGTCAGGCTTTGAGCCCTTACCGTTGCTCTCGATGTGCCCGTTGGCCTGATGGCCACCCTCCGTCCTGATCACAGTTTCCTGTCGGTCAGAAAGAGTCCCCTGAGAAGACAGGTAGCTTGGAACATCTGGTGGCACAATGGTTTCATCTGCAAGGAGATGGGACAAATACCACGTATCGCAATCCTTCGCAGTGGTAAGAAATGAAAACCCCCATTCGCTATCAAGCCCAGATTCAGCATGTCCAAAGCTGCCGCCCAGGCTGGGCAGAGGCCTTGTCCAGAGGGCCCAGCTTAGCCTTCCTTTCCACCTGGCTGTAAGGAAATGTGGCACGCGGGGCTCTGAGGCCACCAGAGAGTGAGCGAGCAACGGTCCCGAGGGAACCACAACTACCCGAAGCACACCACTGGTCCCTGCAGCAACAAGCCACCACGCGGCCACTGTTCATGGGGCGCCTCCGGACGCGGCCGCCTCCACAGATCTCCCTGCGTTTCTCCTGCCCTGAAAGGAAACCAGCCAGCAGGGGCTAACCTGTGTTGGTGACACTGTATTCCTCACTCTTCTTCCTGGTCTGGTAGATGATGCACACCCACACCAACGATGTCAGGACGATGCTGCACACCACGGCAATGGTGAAGATGCCCACGGTGGTCCCGTCCTTCCTGCAGCCAGGGCTGGGCACGATGCTCAGCTGGCTGTGGGCGCGCTCTGTGCCCAGGGCGTTGGACATCTCACAGGTGTACTGGCCCGCGTCCTCCACCACCACGTTCTGAACCACAAGCAGCTGGTTGCCGGGGGTGAAGTGGTGGCGCTCCGTGAGGCTCAGCGGGCGGTTCCCCTTGAACCAGGTGATGCGAGGCGCAGGGCTCCCGGTCGCCTTGCACTGGAGAGCCACCGTTTCTCCCATGGACACCACACGGTCTTCCAGAGGCACCACCAAGGACGGGGTTTCTGCGGGAAGTCAGAGGAAACCAGACGGTTACTGTGGGGCCTGCCTTGTCTTCTGGGCAGAGAACAGTCCAACATGTCAGTGAAATGCCCTATGAGATCTTCACCAGACTGGCACGCTTTTCAGAAGACTTAACACAGTGACTAAATCTAACCTTTCTGGGGGGTGGCTCCCTCAACAAGGAGGAACTAATCTTGAGCCACAGGAGACCCAACTGTCCTGTGCCAGACTGGTGTCTCTATTCTTAAGCCACACCCATCCAGTGTAAGTCAGAGGGCAGTTCTAGAATGTTCCATACCAAAGCCCTATACTCTCTTAATTCAGTGCCTATTATCTTAAAAACAAACAAAAACACTGGGGGAAAAAAGTGCTAGAAAGTGGCTCAAAATGTGAAACCAACACAGCCAGCAGACCACACTCGGCTCCACGCTAGAGGCTAGTCTACCATCTGAGAACCTGGCCACTAGGCGTCTGGTACTTGAGGACCCTCTTCCACACCCGCGCACACGTGCACTCCAGTACTCCGCGTATGAGCGCTCGGACCTAAGACTGTCAGGGTGGCATTGGCT